ATTGAGCCTTGCTCAAATAAAGAAGTAGCGGCTGCTGCACCATGAACTAACGTCACATTTTGTTTGCGTTCATGCAGGGTGGCTGACAAACTGCCTAGACCAAACCTTGTCTTGCTCAAGCACTTGCTGTCTCTGCTCCACCACATCAGCCAGAACGCCGAGACCAACAGGATGGACTCCAGCAATCTGGCCATCTGCGTTGGCCCAAATATGCTGAGCCCAGAGACGGACAACACGCTGCCGCTGGAAGTGCAGAAGGAGATGAATGACAAGGTGCGTTGAACTCACCAAGCAGCCACCCCCTTCGGGGCAGCTCAGAGCCATCCATAGGGGTCCCACTGCCATTGCAAAAGCTGAACAACACAGCGCCCCTGGACATCGGGGATGCCCCTCAGCTCAGGTGCCTGCAATGTGATGGGCAAGGCTGCCCCTCGTCTCGCCTCCTCTGAGCAAAAGTAGCGGTTGCCCTGCAGTCCCCTACGTCGTATCACAGCTCCTGGATACTTTGCACACAGAGAACAAGGGGCACCCGGTGGGCATTGCCACCCGCGGGCTTTCTGGACAGTGAGGCTGAAGCTGTGGCTGGTGGCGTTTTATTTGTATCGGGGCAGATCAATTAGGCTGCAGCATCTGTGTGCAGGTGATGGTGTTGAAGTTCCTCATAGGCAACTGCTCAGAAATATTTTGGGAGAACATTGCCTTGCCTGTCTGTGCCTTGACTGAGGAGTCACCAAAGCACACAGACAGCTCCACAGGTATGAGAACAGACTGGGGCTGTCACAGACTGGGGCTGCTGGGCCAAATTGTTTAACCTGATATGGGAATACATCTGTGGAAACACAGAGAGTTGCAGAGGGTTCAATACGTTATTGCAGTGTTTTTCTACAGGAAGTCTTTCCAGAAGTTCAGAATGACAACACTCACAAAACAAAATTAAATCCCGATGTTAAACATCGGCCTCAAGCACATTCTGTTACAGAGGTGCTGATACCTCAAGGATCTTTCTAGCAGGGTTTGAAACAGCATCATTCTCCAAACCTAACAGATCCAGAGGTCTCTGTTTTCCCACTGCTTCTCAGGAGGAACAGGCTATGAAAAGAAAGACACGTTTTCATCATAGCCGATATGCTATCAGTGTCCTTTTTTGCACTTGCCTTATCAAAGTTAACTCCTCCAAGAGCTGTTTATTCTTCAAGGTGAGCTGAAACTTAAAGGTCTGGATGCTGGCTTCAGAAGTCTGTGGAGTGAAATGTCCTTTCAAGAACCATTTTCAAGAAGAGCAGCAGATGTTACAGAGAACATGGCATCAGAGCAGGCATAGACGCCTGGTGTATGTTTTAAGTTGGGTTTTGAGTTTTGTTTTTAGCTTCACAAAAGTCATTTTACTGTTCATTTCTTGGATAATGTTTGCCTTATTGAATTGTCAGGTTTAAAAATCACAATGAAGTCTTGCAGCTTTTGCTTTCTAGAGCTGCATTCAGAAAAGCAGCAAGAAAGGTGCACATAGAGAGTCAGAAAGTTGCATTTCTGTACAGACAACCTTCTCCATTCTTCACCCAAGAAGAAAGAGGAGGAGATGTGGCCATGCAAGTAGGAAAAGGAGAGGTGCATGTCCTCAAACACTGTCAAAACATGTCTCCTGTATGAAACAAGTTTCTGATGCAAAACTGGGGCAAAACCAGAAAGGAACTTCTCCTCACAGAAGGTATTAAAACAAAACTCTCTCCAGTGTATGCTGTGAGGTTAAGTGCAAAAGTAAGGAAGGTACTTCTCCATGTCCACCGGTTCTGCTGCTTTCAGCTAAGAACTACAATGTTGAGAAATGCTCTCCCCTGTAGAAACAGTGTCCCGCCCAAGAAGGGGTTGGGAACACAGAAATAGGGTCCAGGTGAGTGCTCTGCTTCTCCCTGGCAGCCTCCACAGTGGCTGTGGTAGGGTGTGTGGTGTCTCGCTCCAGCCCACTCATCACTTAGCTCAGGGCTTTATCCAGTCAGGTCCTGAAAACCTCCAAGGACAGAGACTGCACAGCTTCTCTGGGCAATCTGATCTACCACCTGAGTGACCTCAGGGTGAGAAAGAGATTCCTTAAGCTAAGCTGAACCTCTCTTGTTTCAACTCCTGCCCATTGTCTCTCATCCTCCTGCTATGCACTGCTGGGAAGAGCCCAGTTCTGTCATTCTGCTGACCCCCCCACGGGTGCTGGGGGGCTGCTGTCAGGCTCCACCGAAGCCATCTCTGTCCCAGGCTGAACAAGCCCCGGTCCCTCAGCCTCTCCACACAGGGTAAGTGCTCCAGCACTGACCATCTTGGTGGCGCACCACTAAAGTCGCTCCTGTTGATAACAATTCCTTCTTTTTGTGCAAAACCCAGCCCATCAATTACCAATGGAGCTTTTTGCAACACCTCTGTATTGTCCTGTTCTCTGTATTAAGCCCCTCCACCTTCACTGGTGGCCTCTTTAGTTTGTCATATTCATTATTCAAATTATGTATTTCAAATTGGGAGTTGAATTGTTGCCGTGTTCATTGATTTGGAAGGGCTATGAGGTTTGGAAAACTTACAAAGGCTACACATAGCTGACAGTAATAAAGAACAGGTGTTCATCAACTGCTTTTCAGACACAAAATACTTCGGTGGCTTCCTTGGTTCCAGTGTTTACTACCACCACCAAATACCATGCTGTGTACAGGCAGTCTCCTGGTTAGTCCTTGTTCCTGGCATGGTGCACGGTCATTATAAGTTTTTTCCAGAGAGAAATATACGTGGGGAAAATACAACTTTGTAAAACACTTCAATTGGGATTAGCCATTTAAACTCGTACATAGCCTTTAAAAAGATTTAAACTGAATTTACTGTATATTACCACCAGATGTCACTGATAACACTAAAGCAAAACACATTTACCTGTGGTTAAAAGTCTTCCCTCAAAGGCAGGCTTTGCACACCCACCTATTGTCCACAGTTTGCACCATGGCCATGAGTGGTTTACGTTGCAGGCATTAATTTAGCATGTGTCATGCGGAGCTTATTCAGTGTAAAGCCCTTCCTAGCATTGTACCTGCTTATCATGCACTTTGGGTTGTGCAGTATTTTTGCCAGAATCTCCCTAGGTTGGATGGAGATAGGCTTAGGGACCGGGCTTCCCTAAACATACAGCCGTGGGAGTGACCAGCAGACCAGTGTCAGGCTTACTGATGCATCCTGGCAAGGTACCAAAAAACGCGCTTTCCATTGCTTCAGGTCAAAATCAAAAACCTGAAAACTGAAATGGTAGTAAAATTCTGCCTTCTGAATTCTATCTGTACCAAAATGGTTGTAGCAGGAAACAGAGGATTAGGCTTATCCTATAGAGACCATCATGGGGCTTGCTGTGGCTGATACAGAGGGGATGCCAGCAGCCACCCTCACCCCCTTGCCCAGGGCAGGTGGAGGGGACAGAGCCCACCAGGATGGGCCTGGGGGCCAGCAGGGTGCTGGGAAATGACTAACAGGAAAGCTATCGTCACATTTGCCTCTTCTGCCCTGACAGAGCCTTGCATGGGCATCTCAACAGGCAACAGAGCGAAGGCTGCTGTTTCTGAAGCTCTTCAGGTTTAGAGTGTAAATTGCCACGTGTGCTAACCCGTGTGTGGAGAATCCTGTCATGACTTCATAAAAATCAGCCTCATTATGGCTAACTTTACCTGGATTAAAATAAATAGAAAGGACATTAAGATGTGGCTTGTGAGAACTGTAAATGTTTTAGCTTCTTTACTGGAATATTAGATGTCAGTTTTAGGGATTACTCATTACTGGATATCTTGTCATTTCTTTACAAGATATTTAGCATCACTAAGAGGATTCCTGTGGATATTTGTGAAAAGATTCAAGCAACCGAATGCTGACTTGAATATTTTTTCTGGAAATTGTCCAAGGGGGAAGTGGTCAGCTCGAAGATTTTCATTTCTGCCACTTCTGCTTCGTGCTTTATTAGCTGGAAAATTTAGTTAGAGAGTGTTGAATTGTATTTAAATTGTCTGTGACATTATGGCTGTCAGTTTCTTCTCCCAAGTAACTAGCGATAGGACAAGAGGAAATGGCCTCAAGTTGCACCAGGGGAGGTTTAGATTGGACATGAGGAAAAATTTCTTTACTGAAAGAGTGGTGAAACATTGGAACAGGCTGCCCAGGGAAGTGGTTGAGTCACCGTCCCTGGAAGTATTTAAAAGACGTGTAGATGAGGGGCTTAGGGACATGGTTTAGTGGGCATGGTGGTGTTGGGTTGACGGTTGGACTCGATGATCTTAGAGGTCTTTTCCAACCTTAATGATTCTATGATTATTTTTGTTCTTAAATTGCTATAAGAAAAATTCATTAATTGTATCCATTGCAGTAATTCAGGAATATCAGCTTATGAAAGGTCAAGACCATGTTTAAGAGAAATTTGAAAGCTCATACATCATATCTGATTTTCACATAACATTAAAAGTCCTGTTCAGGAAGTCCCTGTCCTCACTTACCTGAAGTGATGTGAACTACGCACAACTATAGAAAAGAAAGCAGGTTTAGTCATAGCTAGAGAGACATGCTCTTGATTTAGAATCATAGAATCATAGAATAGTTTGGGTTGGAAGGGACCTCTAAAGGTCACCTAGTCCAACCCCCCTGCCATGGGCAGGGACATCTTCAACTAGGTCAGGTTGCTCAGAGCCCCGGCCAACCTGACCTGGAATGTTTCCGGGGATGGGGCATCCACCACCTCTCTGGGCAACCTGTGCCA